GGATACATTAAAGCTAATTTGACATAATTGTACAATTGATTTACGACATTGCGTGTTCAGTTCTAAGAGGCTCTGCTTCAGTCATTGGTTATTGTATTTAATCTTTGATGTTTTCAGATTTCGTTTCTGGCAGCATGCATGGAGATATTACTGTGTGTGTTTTATTTTCAACACACAGTCGTTCCACAAGATCAAGGCTTCTCGATTTTCACCGTATTTTCTGTGTTGCTTTGTCCCAGCGAACAGGTGATTTAATTGGGAAGAATTTCACATCATGTTTGGCCATGCTTACTTGACCACCATCCCTTAGTGTGTTATCGGCAGTATCTGAAACCTTGGTTTGTGATAAATGGCGCGTTTGGCTGAAGAGGGAAAAAAATCATCCGGTTGATTTGTCGGCTGGTAATTAATTCAGCGAGCTCGGTTGGCGTTCTGCCGTCTCCGATGTATGGTTCTTTGCTCCTTGCTGCAATCTTCGAGATATTTCCAGTCGATTACGGCGCATCGTGAAATCCATAGAGCCTGTCAGCCCCCGATGAATTCCTTGATCAAGCAGTCATATATATTTAACCAGCGTTCGACATTCTCAAAACCGCCAGGGCTGACTACATTATTATGGAAAGATCGGGGGGCAGGGGGAACTAAAACATTATTTGCTTTACTTGTGAAGACAATTCGAAGTCGGAGGCTGTTTGTTGCCAGGAGAGTAAGTCAGATCTTATTTTCACCCGTCCAATTATTGAATTATTTACAGAAAAACTTCTGTAAAAGGTTCAGAGCCTTTGCAAAAAGCACTCGAGTGAAATCAAAAGCATGTTAGCCAAGTATGTCACTTGTGAAGCAACGTTCCGAGAAAATAGATGCTTGCAGTTCGGAAGGCTTTGATTTTCCCGTTTCTGTGTATATTCTTCAGCATTTGGATTGTTTCGATAAGGCTGTTGATGGTGAGTTCTGATAAAACGCTGAGTAATGTCATTTGATCCCTATAACCAGCGTCAAAAAGAAGATGTATTATTTCACGATGATTCTCGTCTCTCTGGTTCACTCTTATAATACGAGCGTTTCACAATAGTGCGCCACCAAGAGTTTGCAACGCGTTGGCCAATCACAATGCGCGAAATCTGTCGACCCAATGCGCGCCTGGAAATGGCCGACAGATTTCGCGCACGTTTGTGAATCGCCCGGAGCAGGCAGAACCTGGTGGTTACTGCGTTTTTTCCAGTGTTCATTGTTGGTAAGTGCTGCACCAGTCCTCTTCTTGCACGTGTATTCAGCATACCTACCTTCCTCCGCTTTATTTAAAACCGTATTGGCATTGAAAAATCCACGTATCGTATGTCGATCACAATCATTTTGGTGCCTTTACTTACATAACGTGCATTTCAAATATTCTATTTTTACCGAGCACACAGCCCTTCATTTCCTGACAATATATTTCCCCGAGCTAAACAAACAAATAATGCATCTTTCGCTCAGTCCCAGGTCAAATGATAAACTACGTCCGCATAATGAAATTACGTTTAATGAAATTAAATCAATCTTCCATTTTTATCAATTAGTTACACTCTCGTGGTTGGCAATGCAATTACCGAAAGGTTGAAGTTTAAATTGATCCTGGAATCGTATTTCCTGAGTTAATTGAGCATGTCATTTTCCCCCATGTTATAAAAGGTTAGGTAATATAGCTCACCTCAAGGTAATGGACAAGATATACGCTTCACTGCACGTACTTGCCGGCTTGTATGTTCGGGGGGACGGACACACAAAAGGGATTTATTGAATATGTTAGGAAGATTGGCATGGCGGACGTTCCAATGTGACAGAGGTTTGCTGCAGCGCCACGTGAATCTCTATTTCGCGTTTCGTCTGCCCGTTGTCAGGACCCACTCTCGCTTCGAAAGAGTGTCTGAGTGGTCCTCGAAGGCTCGAAAGCTTGGTATTTTTGTCTCAGTTCGGGAGAGGACTGCGCCTTTATTGCCCTGTGTGTGGTACATATGCTTCGGGTGGCTTTCCTTGTCAAATAGTTCCCCCGTTCTTGCCGTTTTTAGAATACATGTATGCAAACCAGATACCGAACACGCAGCCGTATTGCACCGGCCATTGCGGTCCAGTGTAGTGTGAAATGCGGAGTCGTATATATAGTCTATAAATACGCCGTACTTAGAGCAGGGATCAATGAAAACTATGAGGGACAGGAGAGGCTGAAAGTACATGTGCGGACAAGGAGATGGAGTATCATAGGTGTCCAGATTTCATGTGACACTGGTTGCTGAGAGGTTGAACTTTGACTCATGTTAAGTTGTATGTTTTGGCACATAATTCATCGGGCGCATTAAACAATGTAAACCCATTTTTTTTTCTGGAAACTTCTTCCGTCAGCACATGCGCTCAGCACATCTCCGAAGCTTGAAAATGTGCAGTAGGCGTATACAGTATAGGGCCTAACTTTAGAAGGAAAAACAGATAGGAGTTGCAGATGATTCCAATTTGTAAAAAATTATTTGTTCATTCTTTGACACGGGGACATAAGCTTTAAATTTAATTAGTTTGGTGAATAACTACATGTATAATCTACAGCTGTATTATGATCGTCAGTGGAAAAAGCGTCTACGGCCCTAAATCCATGTCAAACACTGTCAAATGGAGCAGAACAAATCCATTATGGACGCGATTGGAGCGCATTAAAAGATAAATTGGCTTGCTTTGACGGCCCGTCATTATGATGATGATTGGTGAAGACATCAATCCCCCAACAACCCAGCGCTGCAACGGGGCGATAATGTTCCAAATGCAATCCTGGGCTGTCGTTACTCTCCTCCGCTCGTTTATCTCTTGGCCAGACCCTTACGACCGTGACGGAGAAGCGCCCTCATAACGCGGTAATTCAATTACAACGCGGTGCGGTTTGGTCGTCGACATGTACATTAGCATGATGTCTTCTCAGAAACCCAGGGCAATCCTTCTTCGAGTCGCTTGTGTTGTATGGAAGAAAAAGAAAGTGAACAAAGGAAAATCGCATCGGGTCCAAGATGAGCGTTGACCTCTCTGATATAGCACTTCTCTCGTTTTTTCCGGGTTGGTACCTCCTTTTGTACGGCTACAGTAGCAATATCTGCAGTTCCCGGATGACACTTGGCGCCTGTAGGCTCACGGACAAGAAAACCAAAATGGTAATGCTTGCTTAGTCTTGGCCATTATGACTGAAGTTCTTGTTTGCCCTATTGATAATCGGTCCAGATTTTATTGTACAGGGCTTATTTTACCCTTTTGAACGTGATTCCGCTTCTGGATTGGACTTCATAGGCCCTATTCTGAATTCGGATTGCGATTGGGATATCCCAGTTCTGTATTTTTTGTTTGCCTGTTTGGCAACTCAAGAGAAATAATTCTTGTCGTTTAGCATGGGAAGAAAACAAAAGAACTGTCTTGGAAATATACCCACTTTGTAGAGCGAATATAAGGGCATGTGCCCCCCCCAAAAAATAACACGTTGACAAGCGAAATACAAAACATAAGCAAGTGTTGTAATTTTGCGTGTCCTCTTCTTTAAATAGTTTCCCCTGGGATAGGCCCTATACGCCCCCTATCTTCCAAAGCATATTGAAAGAACTACACGAGGAAAACAAGTGACTGATCCCGAGGAAAATCCGACAAAGGCAGATCCCAGGAGTGGCTCGTATCATATCAAAGTATTCAAGGGGTGCTGGGAGTATTACACACGGCGGGTATAAATATCTTGGCGAAGCAATGACGCGGTCGACGGGGCTTTTGAGAATCTCCTCAAGGCATCAGTCGACTACCGCACGGGGAGTCTCAACCACGGGGACAAGACTTAATCTCGTCAGGTTGGTTGAAATAAAATTTTTGTGTTTTTTTTCCAGAGAAGTCCTCGCCCAAATATAGCTTTTAAGTACCTGTGGTGATTTGACTATAAAAACCCGTTTTGTTACATTCAGTCTGCCCGAGATCCCAAGACTCAAAATCTGTTTTCTCGTCTGCATAATCAAAGGTATTTATAGAAAGATTTCGTGTTTTTTTATTTCAACATCTGGCTGGAGATACTCATTGGCAGAGGATTTTTGTGCAAAGTTATATTGTTGAAAAGAAATTCCATATAAATTTTACCAATGCGGCCCAAAGCAGACTTTTTTATTTTTTATTTACCCGTGACGGTAGCAAATCGACCGGAAAAACTGTAACTGATAAGTGCTTTGGTTTGAAACTTATCGAACACGAGACAGGATGCGATTTTATAAATAATAAACCCGCTGGTAATTAGCCACCCCCCCCCAAAAAAAACCAAACAAACAAACACCCCAACACCCCAACCAACCAACCAACCAACAAACAAACAAACAAACAAACAAACAAACAAACAAACAAACAAACAAACAAACAAACAAACAAACAAACAAACGAGCAAACAAACAAAAATTTAAAAAAGTACCTTTGAAATTGGACGTACCTCACACTGCCATGCACCATCGGCTTTCAATAGATTGTTTAATGGTTTGGAAAAATGGAAATGAAAGGTGGGATGACATATAATGCAGTACTGTAGCCATTATGGCATGGAAATATGGAATTGCAGTCATGTATGCCTGAGGCTGTCACTGTAATGTATGCACTTACTGCTGCTGGTCTTTACCGCTCTCAAAGTCACACCGTCATGTCTGACTCTGAGTAGTTGGAGTCTGTGTCTGCTGCATTCCAATCACCGCTGAATATTTTATCTCTTTGCATAAAGCTACCTGACCCTTCACTTTATTATAAGTACATTAAAGTGAAACTGTGCATGCCAAAAATAAGTAAATGAAATGAAACGAAGCGACAGAAACGAAATGAAACGAAATGACAAGATATGAAATGTCGTATCATGACATGAAATGGTATGACATGAAATCTCATGACATGACATCTCATGACATGACATCGCGTGGCATGACATGACATCTCATGGCATGGTATGACTTGACATAAAGTCACATAGAATAATATAACAAGCAAATGTTAAACTTAGAGAATAATACTCACTGTTTCAACAAAATTGAACATGATTTTATATTGAAATTAAGCTACTTACGCTTTCTGTTATCCTTTGAAAGTGATACTTATTTTGAAATATTTATTATAACATTAATTTTTTTAACTGAACTTTTAAAACTAATTCCCAGTTGTCGATATGAATCGTGGTTGGGAAGGTATTTTTATGGAGTAATTCAAGCAGCTTCTGATCGATGACAAATAGAAAAAGATATCAGTTGATGGGAAATGATAAAAAGGCGCCATCTACATGTTCATGCACCGTCCTGACACCTTCAAATATTGATAATAATGGCCAATCAAAAATGAGAGGAGCACAACCCTGACCATGCGCAGTGCAGGTCCGTAGTGACATATCATGTGAACCAACTCAGCCGCTACTGGGCCTAACATGACTCAACTGGCTGTCTCCCCAAGGTGCTGTTCTGCAGGTTTGCCAACTAATCGATACTTTCAGCAGCGTGCTGATATTGGATGACCGTTTTGCCAGCCGCGGCCCAGTCCTGGGGTCTTCAGCGTCGGTTTTCAAGGCCTCTGAGAGCCGAGATGGCCTGTCATGAAATACTCCCCGGCTGAACAAAATATGACCGAGTCTTTGCCAGGCGATGAAATGGAAAGAATGCTTCAACTCAAAGAGGTACGGTTTCAAGATAAATAAGCTGCGAACTTTTCGACAAGCCATGGCTCTTAGCGTTCATCTCGAGCAAAAGGATGCTGAGCTGGACTGGGCTCACGCTGCTGGCTCCTAAGTGGACATTTTTTTTTCCTTCTCAGGGGGTGCACGGGCAATTCAGCGAATCGGCCAGTGCCTGACGCTCACTTCTCGAATACGTCAGCAGTGTTCCGTCGTGCTGCTCTCCGATCTCGCGTTGTGAGTTGACACAAGCTGCCCCCCCGATTGCCAGGGAACGTGGATCATGTGATCAGCAAGTGAGGATTGAGATGGTACTGTCTGCCCGCGTTTTTATTCGGATGAAACAGCGCAAACATAGACACTGTGAGTGGAAGCAACCTGCTTTCCGGAGCAAATCTTCAGGAAATGAAATCAACCCCTCTCTTTCTCTGGAGAAGTTGCCGAGGCTTTTGATATAATGCATTGCCTTTGGACGAAGCCAGGCAACGCTGCGAAAGCACACAGACCGACACCATCTGGCACAGTGACCACGTGACTCGATATTGGAGGGACTTACCCGCATCTACAAAGGGGGTGCCAATGTGCACTTCGCAGCAGTACACCGTTCGTAGCCATGAGAGGGTGGATCGCACACGGCACACGCATCCAATGGGAATGAAAACCTCTAAAATGCACGCGCGTGGGCCGCCGTACACCAGGGCACGCAGGATGATACGAGGACAATGTTTAGATGAATCAGACCTCGGCTGCGTGCGCGTGCTTGGCTGACGTGCAAGTGTCACGTACATTGGTGGAAACCACCAAAGGGAGATTGACCGCATCACACGGGGGACCTTCGGCGTCATTAAGATACGGATCTCCGCCATCTTCACAACCAACACGCGGTACACAGGTATCTCCGTGGAAGAGTTTTGCGGCTGTGTGTTTGTGTGTATTCACCCGGTCTGTGCCTCCCACTTCAACCGCATGCATGCCGCAGAGTGACCGCCACCAACACTCAATGACACCTCAGGTGTCCCTGCAGTCGCTCTGTGAGCTCTATGATCAGCTGTCCGTGGATATGGACCAGCTGGACGTGGTTGTCCTCGGAGCTCCCTCTGTAGGCAAGACGGCGCTCATTGAACAATACTGCCGGTGTCAGTTTGTCCAAAAACACCGCCCCACCACAAGTGCCTGCATCTACACCACGGCCGTGGTGGCCAACAACCAGCTCTTCGAGATGAACCTGATCGACATTCCCGTCATCCCGTACTCCCCTCTAGACTACAGGGCCGGCGACACGACCGCCCCACCCGGGCCCAGCTGGGAAGAGCTGCAGTCCCACGCCATGGCCATTGGCACGGCGTCGGCCCTCATTTTTATCTACGACATCACGTCCCAGGAGAGCTTCCAGTACATTAAGGACCTGCGGCAGCAGATTCTGGATTGCTACGAGGCCGAGGGGGGCTTTGATATCCCCGTCATCGTGGCGGGCAACAAGCAAGACTTGCAGATGCTCTCCAACCTGCCGCGGAGGCACATATCGCAGATAGTCAAGAAAACCTGGAAGTGTCCGTACGTGGAGTGTTCGGCCAAGTACAACTGGCACGTGGGCTCGCTCTTTAATGAGGCACTCAGGGCTGTAACAATGGGGAACAGCAACAAGGAAGGTCAGACGAGATCTCGTAGATTACCACTGCGTGCCTGGAAACACTGCTCATGTTCTATAATGTAATCCTGTAATCCTCACTCAACCAGGAAAATCATCGTCCTAATCACTGATTCATGTCAGCACCTCCATCTTCCAGAGAACGCCCGAGCGGTTTCTTTATGCCTGGACACGGGTGACACCCTTCCACGTGACAACTCCCTTCTGCGTTTCAAGTTGGACATCTCTGCCAACCGACAAAACTTGCTGGGGAAGTGTGGAAAGTATCAGCTGGCCTGTTTACTTGCGTCCCTTCCCTTGTTTTGCCTGTCAGTGTCTGCAAGTCGGCCCCCGGGATGTTCCGTTTGCGTAGGCGACAGGTGTTATCTTTATCCTCCTCGACATAACGAGTGTCTCCAAGGTGTGACACTTCCCATTTTCAAGGGATTCATCCCGCAGACTGATACAAAACGGTAAAGGAATTCCAAGTGCATGAACTCTTCAGTAAGCCTTATCGAAATACTGGTGTGTAAAAGCTGTGCAATAATTCATTGATATTTGTCCTGCTTTACTGGACATTGAATGACCAATTCAGTATGTACTTAAAGATTACAGTGTATTATTTAGGTCTTTGTCCTATAACCTAATCATTAGCGTTTGAAATATACCCTTTCATTCTTTTAAAACCCTGCAAGTTATAATATATTCCAGCCGAAGTTAACACTTTCATCAGGTATGTTGTGCAGATTGATACTTCCGTTTTGTCTAAGGTTTCGCTGGTCTACCGGTTTTCATTTTTGTTTACTATGTAATTCATGATTACAACATTTCATTCGTTCTAGACTGCACGTGTGTTGAATTCGCCGAGGATCCCTGTATTAACCATATTCTCGTTCATATTGTTGCTTAAGTTATTGAATTGAACCTGTATGATTTTTTCACGCATCAAATTTGGACCCGTATTGCCTCAGAGTTAATGAAGTTGGTTTCAGGTGCTGAACTAAAATTGACGAGCAGGAAGTAACTACTGCCATCAAACTCTGGGAAATAGAATTACGATTTCTCTTAACCTGTGTCGCTCAACGAAAATGTGTACCCGTCGGTTTTAGGAAAACCCCATCAACTTCGAATTTCTCATGTCACTGAATCCTGACTTGTACCTGAGTTCGAGGCTGAGGTCAAATTCTATGATGTGCAGTTTGAGTTGCAGTCCAATTCAATCCGATCTAATCTAATCAATGTTGTGCTTCAATGGGGTTTTATCAGCCTTCTATTTGTCAAGTCCTCACAGGTTCCCACAAAACTTATCAAAAGTGCGTCACAAGTCATCCAGTCCCTACTGTCAGGCTGTTGAAACGAATTCTATCAAACAGAGTCACTCCTTTTGTCGTCGCTTTTTTTTCTCAGGCAAAACAATGCGATTTACTTTGATCTAACTTTTGACCTTGCATTTGTAGGATGATACTGGGAATTCAAGTCCTGGTTACGTAACCATAGAGCATGTAACGTTGGGCTTGGTGGGCTCAGCTATCATGTAACAAAGCGAATCGTTTTTATCACCAATCTGCGCCATTTTGGCGTGCTGAGCGACCTCGGTTGTTGAAACTCACGTTTTCAAGACCACTTCTGTTTACTGATGTATGTATGCTAAGCCAGCGACAACAAGCACTGTACATTCCTATGAATCCACCATCACTCAAGGGAAATGCAGTCGTTAAGCTGATTTCTATTGTCGTTTGCAGGTTGAACGTTCAGCCTTGTCTGTAGTGTCCACTCACAATCCCACAGTATCACTAAGCTACCAGCATACATGAATAATTGTACATATTTGCATATCTGATGTACAGCAGATCTCCATCAATATCGCATTCGTTATATTTATATATTTGTATCAATCAATTTTCTTAATACGAAACATTTCAGGCGTATATTTTCCCTAGCACCTACACGCGGGCATAATAAACGACAACGCGTCACATTAGTCGCTGGCAGATTTCAGTACATATATATCATTCCCGCAGGTTTCAAAAATCCAGGGAAAAAAGCCCTCAATAAGCAAAAATTCAGGCCAATTTTTCTTTTTCAATTTGCTGCTGCGTAGTCGACCGTGATGTCGCCTCGTGCAAGCGTGAACTCGGAACCTTCTTGCGAAAGCGTTATTTCTGCTCTCTGCAAATTGGCAAATCGTCAGATTTCCCGCAGCCCATCGACCGGGTCGTATTCACTCCCCAGTATTTGCTCTCTCATCTTTCTGGCTAAAGTCACAGCCTCGAAATTGGTCAGTTTGATGAATATTCCTTCAATCCACACCTCTGAGATGTCTTTAGATTCAATCTGCCTGGAGTTCTTCCGTTCCAGTTATCCAAATTTGGATTGATTCTTTCCCTCTCGCCTGCAAAGCACAAACGAAGGGTCTAGTGTCAACATTTTTAGGGTGGGGGACAGGCTAGGCATTGCTTTTCAATTACAAAGCTGTCGAAATTCGCTCTTGCCGTAGATATTACGGCAAGCCAACCTGATACAACTTATTATAAACAGATTCCCTAATAGCCATACTCTTGGTTATTCACATGACGTTCGTATAATGCACAAGTCTTGCTCTCTATGGCTACTAGACTCGAAAGAGCCTGCCGGTGCGCAAACCAAATCGTGATTTGCACATCGGTTGTTGAACTGGTGCTCTGCTCGTAGAGCATTGTATGTTCCGTGAATGGGAGGGTTATAGTACAGAAACGGGTTTAAAGCCACCAACAGGACTGTCAGCTCATATTTCTGTGAAAACTTGATAAAATGTAGCCGCTTATTTTATAATGGACTTTACAGGCATCAGTTTTCAAAATGCCAATGGGCTTCAAGACCATTTTTAGGGGCCATCGCCTTCGGTTGGAAATTTCTCCACATTTCATTGGTTAATCCTGCTAACAGTAAATTAAACAGGAGATGAATTATGAGGAAACAACCTTAAAATTTTTGTATGCGTGTATAATTTTTTAATTACTCTGGAATGCTTATCATCGTCAATTATGGCATTTCATTTAAAGCTGAAAGACTCCTCCGTTCGGACTTATCGCAGTTAGGCCTAATCGTTAGAAATTGACTTCTTTTTTTCAACCTCAATTTAGATTCATTCCAATCTGTCCGTTTATTTGCGAGGCATCGACGTGTTACTTGAAGACCCTTGTTGGCATTACATCATCCAATTAAACAGACTTATACGGTGCGAAATGAATAAGTCCCCGAAACAAAGAAGCCGCTTTGGAACAGTATGTTAATGCGTATTGCTGGAAAATATGCTCTGTGAATGTTTACTGTGCAAATACTTGCTGTGCTCACTAAAGTCTGTATAGACGCTCTTTGAAAGTTATCAATGGTGTGATAAAGACAAAAATAATGTGACCACAGCGCATATGGTCATAAGAGTGGGCGGGTTCCCCCAGGGATAGAAAATACAATGATACAGTGATCCCACAAAAAAAAAAAACCAGCCAGAGACTCTAGTCATCTTGTATGAAGAATTGTGATTTATCAAGGGAAAGTTTATAATATATACGCCTTTTCATTGCGATGCAAATGGTGCTTATAAAGTTTTTCTGATGGTAGCTTGTGTACTGTTAACCCAGCTGAAACCTCCAAATCCTTCTGGTAGTCTTCGTCCTCGTGATATTTATAAAAATCATACCTCAAACAAAACGTATCTGCATAGCCCTTTCACACAGATAGGTCTACTGGTGACTTCTCAAAATGGCGGCTGACTTACACTCATTCAGTTCTGTTCGATGTAGCTTGGCTCCTTGCCAAGTCCCCTAAAGTCACAATAAATTGTGGATGGCTTTTTGTATCGCATCATAAAACGTTTGGGCGCGCGACATTGAATTCCCCCCTCCTTGCTTTGACAACAGACCTGCCAGAATAACTGTTATATTTTATAAACTTCAATCTCAGGCGACGTTCTCATGCCCCGCGCGAAGCTAATTTATGAACTGTTACCCCGGGACATGTACAGTGTACGTGCACGTGGGTACCGGCGTGTCCAACCGACAGATAGTGTGTCATTTTGCTCCGCATGTCTCTCCTCTCGCATGCGAAGAGACTAGAATGTTTTATTACCCTTTTTTTCTAGGAAGGGAAAATCGAAATGTATTATCTGATGGGGGATACTACTGCAGACGGCGGTATTCTGTTAGCATGTGAATCGTCGTTTCTTCCCCAGAAAATTTAGCGTGCGTCAGGTTTAATTGTTGTTTCGTTCAAAATGTTAAACATTAATTTCACATGCTAACTGCGTTAGAATGGCCCTGTAGGTTTTTTATTGTTCGGTACCGGTACAGCCCGTTAATGGAGCACACCTCCTACGGGATTTAATATCTTTGTTATTTCCATATGCAGCGTCTGTGGGAAAAGGTTCTACTATCCATATTGTGCTTTGTTCTGTAATGAAGGCTGAAAAGCCATGGAAAAAAGCTATTGCGATGATGTATGTCGACTCAGTGTATCGCTTGAACTCTTTTCTGTATCGATCTGGTATACCACAAGGACGTATGATTGCATGAACAAAGGACGCCAACCCGACACAAATTGAAAAATAATGTAAAACAATTCAGAGATTCAATTTTTTTATCAGGGCATGAATAATTCAATTTCATTTTTCTGCAGACTAAAATTAGATTAGAAATGGAGGTAAATTTGACAAGATGATTATTAAAAAGATTTTTTAAAAGATCAAGTAGGGAAAATGTTTCGAATTGTATCTTATTTTGAAGAAAATATTTTTTGGATATATATCTTTAAAATTATAATTCTATTTAATAATATGTAAATTACAACATATCAGTAATCTTTTCGTGTTTACATTTTTCGTTTCAATGATTTCATGAGGCTTGTTAGAATAGAATTACATCAGGCTTCTCGGGCAAAAAGAAGTATCAATTTGCCAATTTCGAAAATTTGCATTTAAATAAAATCGGAGAATTTTCTGAATTTTCTTATCATTCTAACTGGCACAACACAGAAACCTATTTTGTCCTGCTCTGTTTTTTTTATCGTCGCTTATGGGCAGGGGACGCTCGAGTTTATAGGTGTATATTTTAGTCAATGCTAACACCACGTGTCTCTTTCTATAGCCTTGTGCTGGCCTTGTAAGGCTTCTTGGTTACACTTAAGCATGTTCCTGCTGCCATTTTTGTGTATTTTGTCCTTAATTAGCCAAGAGAAATCCGAAAAGGGTGTGTATCAACTTAATCTCTTCGTTGTTCCTAATCCTCGCCGGGTTTTGCATTTTTCCCATCTTTTCAGGCCGACTGATGTGATCAACGACATTCTAGGATAACCCGAAATGAAATTATTCTGCTGCCCATTGCCCGAAGAACCACAGAATAATATTCCTTTGACTTTAGTTATCACGTTGGAAATCTTATTCAGAGACGGACAGTGGGCAACCTGTACACGGTTTAACTTTAAGAACACATTAGGATGCAGTTTTATTGGAGAATTAACACCATCCGAACCCCCTGTAAAGGGTACGATTCGACTGACGACAAGACCTGGGCGAGAACTCCGGCCGCAGTTTGTGGAAGACGCTAGTGAAGATTTAATGATATTGATTCCATCTCCACGAGAAAACACTCTTCCTTCTTGGAGATTTTCCCGGCGACACCGATTCCTCATATTTCATAATGTATTAGGTGCGGGAGCAATAACCGCGCATCGTGTGACATGAAGTCATCGTAACCGAGTCTTAATCAGGTTCGACAAACGGCTCCCATTTCGTGCCAAAGCTGCAAATGTACTTTTTTCCGAGGATGTTTTTCTAGAATCCTCTCTTGAACGTGCCATGCGGTGATGGATGGTATTACTGTGCTTAGTGGTACGTGAGCCAGAAGCGCAAACGGGTAATTTCGCCCTCAATGTAGCAGTTCCTCTTATTGGATTTGATTCAATAGGCTCGCAGTTTGTTTCTGCGTTAAAGTAATAATTAAAGGGAAAAATATTTGAGTAGTTTAGAAAAATCACACCATTCGCGATTGGTCGGTATGCTGTTTTGTATCTTCCCCACGATCTTTCTCCAAATCAGTGTATAGTTTTTGCTCCAGACAACCAAACGCACGAGGACGCCATTTTCGGTCTTGTTCCTTAAATTTGTTCGCTAAAGTGTAACTGTTAATTGGGATGGTACCAGCTGTTTTATGATTGGCTTCCTTTCCAAGCCTCCCTTTCAATATTTTTTTTTCACTTGTGGCTCGAATTAGTACACATTTGAAATAATTCATCAGAGTGGAAGGTAATAATTTCGAATGGAATTTATTGCACTGCTTTTATTTCTACTCTAAAGTTTCCGAAACGACGACTTATAGTCTTGCTTTCAATTTCAACATCGCGGACACAATAAGGAAGTCGACGCCAGGCAACCCTTTCCTGTATGACTATCCTGAGAGATGATCGGCAACATATTGCATAACAGTGGTCAGTTTCTACAGGAAACACATTCATCATTTTGTTGGACCGAAAGGAGAATCGCATATTTTGAATATTGTTCAGTTCGTGTACCTAGCTCCCAACCATGAACTAAATCCGCTTGCCACTTTTTGGTCACGAATTAGCAACTATGTGGGAGTGTCAGTCTTTCATTTTGTCGGTTTTCTCAAAACTTGGATTCCTTAACGGCTGTGGCTTCGTCTCAGGCCCCAGAACCGTTTGCAGACCTTGAAGGTGTTGACCATTTTGAAAATACAAATTTGCACAGTCTGTGGAGTCTGAAAACAACTCAGAAGAAGGCAAAATGTATACGAAGCCGAGGTTCGAAAACAGCTCCTTGTTCTGGTCATACAAATCTTAGTTTCGGCTGAATGTACACATACAGTCGTGCGTTGATTCTGTTGTGGAGAAAGGGGCCGCTTCAATCATGGACATAGATTTCCATGGGGATTTTCGCACAAGCGGTATGGTGTTTATTTTTCGGCCGGTAATTACGTTGCCAAGTACGCTCGTACAATAATCACACTGTTAAAAACCTATATTTTTTTTCTCGGAGAGTGCACTTTGCAGCATTCATAGTACTGGCTTCGGCGAATCAGATTTTTTTATGAAGATGTACAAGGCTTCTCCCAGCGTTCCATTCCCCCTGAACATCCAACATACCCTTTTTTTTCTGAATTTATTGACTTTTAGGGGAAATGATTACTGCTGAAGTGTGGAGATATTGTCGAACGGCATTACAACGCATGTGGTGTATACCACAACGCATTCAACGTATACCCGGTATCGTCATTGTAATTTAGTGGAACTGCTACATGAAACAACTTTCAATCGGCAAGTTGGACAGTGTTCCCTGTATTCACGACAAACTGTATCAAGACCAGTTTCTGCATTTGTCGGCTCAATCAATCTATTTTAACTGTTTGATTGAAATCAAAAATGGGATTGCCGTTCGGCGATTCACTGGCCCCTCAATTCACCAGCCAAAGAGTGTTAAATCTTTCAGCTCTATACATGTTCTTTGAACTCAACACGGCTCAAACCTGTCGATCTCTTTGAAGCATTGCCAACCTGTAAAAATATGCACCGACTGCAGAATATCCCCTATCAGGGGATTTTGGGCTGAAGTACGCTCAACCCGGATGGCTTGCACTTTTCCTCGATATCGCGCGCGAGGCCCAGGAACGAAGCCATTTTGTAATTGATCTCCAGATCAGGAAGCGGCGTGATTTTTCGAATCGAGACAGTTTCTGTTTCACGGAAACCAAGATTCCGAAGCCAACCCCGCAAACCGGATGTGAGTGCGATTCATGCGGGCCGTGGAAATGCGGACAAGCGAAATATATTGACTCCCCGACAAAACAGAGTCGGTGATCCGTACTGCGCGAGCCTCGGATGCACTGTGCACCACAACATCGTACAGGGATAAGGATTTTACCTGACATCGACAAAGTTCAGTGGAATGATAGTCCCGATCTGGTAATGTCTAAATTATTCGGTTACCAGGGAGTTTTCTTTTTGTTTTCGAGAAGGTAACTGAATAGTAATTCGCAGAAATTTTTTTCCTTCGGGTAATTTGAGGTGGAACTCTGATGAAATGTATATTAAAGCCCAATTCTCGTGATTTCAGTCACTTGCCAGTTTTAACCCTTTCGTAACATTGTGGTGATGATGGGTGGAAGTTGACAAGAAATGTCATCGCAGAACGTGCCACAATTAGCCAAGATTCCATAGGAGAATACCATCGGTGATGAAAGATGCACCATTTTAAAAGGGTACTTGCATGCAATCCATTTCGTCAAATGCACCATGGTCAGCTAACCTAATTTTCAACGTTTGCTTTATTATATCAAGTATATTTTGCTGCCTTTTGCCATATTTATGGGCAAAACTGTGATGTCATCTCAGGAAGAAAGCCTCAATGTTACATTGGTTTGTACACAAAAAAGTCCTGTATTTCTGAAGATTTGGCTGGACTCGGCATTCTCTTCTCTGTCGATTCTCTGTTTATGCGCATAGCAGTCAACAAGCATCGATCGCAATCTCAGAAATGTTTTCCATACGCAAGTTCTGGGCTCACAATTTGAACAGAAACACCTATGCACCAAACCACGTCTTCCCTAAATGACTTCACAGCAACAGCGCCATCAGTTGACCAGGAAAGCATGAATAATTTCAATTGTTTAAAAAAGTGCACTTTTTAATGCATTTAACCAAACAGGAATGTCAAAGATCAAGAAGAGAAAGACTATACAAATGCACGGGACCGGCACGCAAACCAGGATCTAGCGAGAAGTAAAATTTGGTTTTGTAAATGACTGAAGAAAGTCGTGCATAAATTTATTAGGTATAATCAAAATTGGCGCGTTGCGACTGAATACAGCTGGCGATGATGGTCAACTAAATAAATCCGAAATTTACCATCAAGCACTCAGTAGACCCGAAGGCTGCTTGCCATTCTCTTTCGGAATGCTTTTCTTCATTCGGTTAAAAATGAGAGCAGTTTTGGGCAAAAGAAAAAAATAATTGCATTACGGTACTCAGGCATGCCCGATGGAAAGAAAAGAAGCCTTTTTTTATCTCGTCGATTCTAGCGCCGTGATTTTCTTTGTCAGCGGTTCTTTGTTCTCTCTTGAGACACATAATCTTGGTTTGGATCGCTGGATCAGAATGTAATGCCCGCTTCCTGAGCACGCGGACGAATGGAGTAATTGTAGAGATCTAGTAAGGCCACTGGTGCTTATTTTCGTTCCTTTCAAATTGGTATGCCTGTAAGGTTTGGGTATTTTTGTTTCACTGAAGTAACGGCAAGATGTTAATGCAAGGTTGGCAGCCATGTTGATTGTTTACATAAGAAGGTGATTGTCGCAGGCTAAATTTCATTTGATGATGAGCATGACTTCATAATGAAAACCTCTACCGAAGCAGATGAATCTTCTCTGACTGGTTTTGAATGCTTTTCCTTAATTTTTAATTCATCGACTTTGAAGAAAGTTCTTTCTTGGGTAGTAGTTTTTTATCGCTCATACTGCAGGGCTTCACGTATTGTCCAACTCTGTTAGCAGTGCATGTGTCACATTGCTGAGTCTTCGCCTTGCCGCCCGTTAACTGCTCAGTGTTGGACAAGGTGTAAGCCCCCTTTATAATGCCTCGACAGAACACGCTACCCATCGCTAGAATCCAAATATTGAAATAACTGGCACGTTTTACATTAGAGTCGCTACAAATCGTGAATCGTGTAGACTGCTTTATTACTGATTCGTTATTGCCTTGGGCTTCCAGAGAACGAATGAGCAGGAAAGTCCATTTAACTCTAATGTTCTATGTATGTACCAATATCATGATTGTCTTTCATTTATGTTTCGCATTTAGCTCGATCCTTCTCATCAACAGGGGCAAAGTTGCATTAAATTGTGGTTGTCAGGTGCAATTTAGTGCGTTTTCCCTAGCGGGCATAAGGATGTGCGAACTCATTGTATTATCCGCCAAGTAAACATGGTTGAACATCAGTGTTGGCATTGAGCTCGAATGCTTTCAATC